ATCCACAAAATATAAGCGTGAGGCAGTATGTCATAATATATCTCTCAGAATAATATGTTGAGCCTTGTAATATGTCATAATATGTCCTGGGTATAATGTGGAATGTTCAAGGATTTTACAGGGGAAAATATTATGGAGGGGGTAAATGAAAGGGAACTGTGGTATATTATGTGGTAGGGCCTTCTTTTTCTTCTTTTCTTTCACTATCATCATCACCACACACCACCACCACCACACCACCACACACCATCACCACATCATCACCACCACCACACACCACCACCACACACCTCCACACACACCACACCACACACACCACCACCCTCCACCACACACCACCACCACACACCACACCACACACCACCCACCACCACCACACACCACCACCACCACCACCACCACCACACACCACCACACACACACACACACCACACCACCACCACACACCCCACCACACACCATCACCACCACCACACCACCACCACACACCACCACCACACACACCACCACCACACACCACCACACACACACCACACACCATCCCCCACCACCACACCATCACCACCACCACACACCATCACCACCACACACCATCACCACCACCACACACCACACACCACACACCATCACACCACCACCACCACACACCACCACACACCATCACCACACACCACCACCACCACACACCATCACCACCACCACCACCACCACACCACACACCACCACCACACACACACACACACACCACCACACCACACACACCATCACCACCACCACACACCACCACACACCACACACCACCACCACACACCACCCCACCCACACACACCACCACCACACCACCACACACCATCACCACCACCACCACCACCACACACACCACCACCACACACCATCCCACCACCACACCACCACACACCACCACACACCACCACACACCACACCACCACACACACCACCACACACACCATCACCACCACCACACACCACACACACCATCACCACCACCACACCACCACCACCACCACCACACACACCACCACACACCACCCCACCATCACCACACCCCACCACTACTATCACCACCAGAGGTTTGTCCAAAGCGTTATAAATATTTTTCTCATGTGCAACAATTCACAAACTTTCCTCCTCTCCCCCTTGTCTCCCCCTCCTCCTCCCCACTATCTTCCTCACACCACCTCCCCAACACCACCTTCTCCCCCTCCTCCTCCCTACCTCCTCCTGTTCCTTATCACCTTCCCCTCCTCCCCACTATCTTCCTCACACCACCTCCCCAACACCACCTTCTCCCCCTCCTCCTCCCTACCTCCTCCTGTTCCTTATCACCTTCCCCTCCTCTTCCCTACCTTCCCCTCCTCCCTAACACCTTCCTCACGCGTGTATGTTATGTTGTGCAGGACGACGGGGGAGGAAGGAAAGAGGAGAGGTAGGCAGAGAGGGGAGGAGAAAGGGAGACATTGAGAGAAGGAAAGAAGGAGGAAGAAGGAGGTAGGTAAGGAGGTAGGGAGGGAGGGGTGTATACTATGTCAGGGTTGGCGGCAGGTACACCTTAAAGCAGAACTCGTAACCTTGTTGATGACCTGTGTGTGTGTGTGTGTGTGTGTGTGTGTGTGTGTGTGTGTGTGTGTGTGTGTGTGTGTGTGTGTGTGTGTGTGTGTGTCGGTCGGCCTCCTGGTCACCCCCAGAACCTCCTCTCTTGTTATTCACCTTACTTCCTACGCCTTGGCTCTCTTCTTTCTGTCCTTTCTTTCCCTTATTCTTTCCCTTCCATCATCCCCCCCCTCGTCTCATTTCTCTTCCATCTTCCTCTCCCTCCCTCCCTCTTCAATTTCAACGTCTCAATATCCACCATCTATTCTTTCAAAACTCTTATCTCTCTATCTCTCCCTTCCTCCTTCTCTCCCTCAAACATGTATAGAAACACGTAGGACTCCACAAAACAAAAACGAAAGACAGGAGAAATGAAATGGTCTGGGAGTAAGGGAGACAGTGTTCTGATAGGTGATGGATGACCCCGGCAGCATTATGTACGAGAGTTTGGCCTGGACAGACACCTTGTTTATCATGTGTGCTGCACTGCCACGGGGTATAGCTAACCTCTTGTCTTGTCCATATCTTACAACAATATTTTAGTAGTAGTAGTAGTAGTAGTAGTAGTAGTAGTAGTAGTAGAATTATTATTATTTTATTATTATTATTATTATTATTATTATTATTATTGTTAAAATTATTATTACTACACTTGAAGGACAAACAGATAAATAGGCTTATCTCTATCAGTTTCTCTTTTGTTCCTGATCTCAGTCTCTCGGCTTCCTAAGATCTTAATTTCAGCTCCTAATCTCAATATTCTGTGTGATCATAATCTCACTGTCTGGTTTCTCTGATCTTACTATATCAAACTCTAATCTCATTGTCTTGCTTATGTTGCCCTAATCTCAGTGTCTAAAGTCTGTTGATCCTAGTCTCATTTGTCTTCTTGTGTTTCATCTTGTCTCAGTGGTCATTCCTGATCTCACTGTTATGATTCTGCTCTCATTTCTTAGGCTCATTTGTGTATTCCTTTGATCCTAATCTCTCTGGTGGATTCACATGCACTAATCTCAGTGTTCAATGTAACTTTCTCAAAGTCAGACTGAACTATTTCCCAATCTCAGTGTTCATGGCACTTTATACAGTCCCTAATCTCAGTCTGTATGAGTGTATGGACGTATTTTAATAATCCCTAATCTCAGTGCTGGGTTTCTGTGCTCCTAATCTCAACATAAATGACTCACAATTGGCTATAAATTTTCTTAAGTTAGGCTCTGAATCAGGGTAAGGTTTTCATTTTCTTTGTTTGTCTTTGAAAACCGTTTTCTATGACTAAATAATACCGTTTTCTCTGATGTTTTCTTAATGCTGTTTTCTATGGCTATATTAAGGAGGTTTTCTATGGTTTGTTTGGTCTTTATTCCATATTTTCTGTAAACAATAATTCTTTTATATCGTAATATTTGCTGCTGTTGTGTCGTTTTCTTTAATTATTCTTGTTTTCAGTAATGTTTGTGGAATTATTTGTCACCTTTGTGTTTATGAAGAAAGTGGTGTTTTTTTTATGATAGGGTGTGTGTGTGTGTGTGTGTGTGTGTGTGTAATATTAAATACAATAATAATAATACACAAAAAAAAAAAAAAAAAAAAATAATAATAATAATAATAATAATAATAATAATAACAATAACAACAATAAACTGAAATATAAAAAAATACCAAAATAATTCAAATCTAATATATAATGCCAAGGGAGGTGGGTCATTTCACAAGGAAATTTCAGCACAGTTACAATACAGAAGTGAGTGTGTCAAGGAGTGAACACACAAGTTATATACGAGTTCTTGATGATTTATATAATGGGAAGGTGTGTGTGTGTCAACACCTGCATTCAAATATTTCTCTAACACACCTAAATATTTCTCTCCATGTTTGCTATGATGTTAAAATACACACACACACACACACACACACACACACACACACACACACACACACACACACATGTACACCTATGGACAAAATTCTCTGGACACTTGAGGTCAATATCTGGTCACCATCTACTTGACCTTGATTGACCTTTATGTTAGAGTGTGTGTTTATTTATATTTATTTGACCCACAAGGAGATATTTATGTGTCCAGAAATTAATGATTGAAACTGTACACAACAAACACATGAACAGCTGACAAACAAAACATAAACAGCTGACATAAACAAAACATGAACAGCTGACATAAACAAAACAAGAAAAGCTGACACAAACAAAACATAAACAGCTGACATAAACAAAACATAAACAGCTGACATAAACAAAACATGAACAGCTGACATAAACAAAACATAAACAGCTGACATAAACAAAACATGAACAGCTGACATAAACAAAACATAAACAGCTGACATAAACAAAACATGAACAGCTGACATAAACAAAACATGAACAGCTGACATAAACAAAACAAGAAAAGCTGACACAAACAAAACATAAACAGCTGACATAAACAAAACATGAACAGCTGACATAAACAAAACATGAACAGCTGACATAAACAAAACATAAACAGCTGACATAAACAAAACATGAACAGCTGACATAAACAAAACATGAACAGCTGACATAAACAAAACATAAACAGCTGACATAAGGTAAAATATAAACAGCTGATATAAATGAAACATAAAACAGCTGACACATAAACAAACATGTGAACAGCTGACATAAACAAAATATGAACAGTTGATATATAAATAAAAACAAGAAAAGCTGGGATATTGAAAACAAAACATAAAATAGCTGACATAAATAAAACATGAACAGTCGACATAAAACAAAACATGAACAGCTGACATAAATAAAAACATATAAACAGTTGACATATAAGCAAACATAAAATGAAGGACATAAACAAAACAAGAAAAGCTGACACAAACAAAACATAAACAGCTGACATAAACAAATCAAGAAAAGCTGACATAAACAAAACATAAACAGCTGACATAAACAAAACATAAACAGCTGACATAAACAAAACATGAACAGCTGACATAAACAAAACATAAACAGCTGACATAAACAAAACATGAACAGCTGACATAAACAAAACATGAACAGCTGACATAAACAAAACATGAACAGCTGACATAAACAAAACATAAACAGCTGACATAAACAAAACATAAACAGCTGACATAAACAAAACATGAACAGCTGACATAAACAAAACATAAACAGCTGACATAAACAAAACATAAACAGCTGACATAAACAAAACATGAACAGCTGACACAAACAAAACATAAACAGCTGACATAAACAAAACAAGAAAAGCTGACACAAACAAAACATGAACAGCTGACATAAACAAAACAAGAACAGAATAATTTACGTAAGTTCTCCCGATGTTATTATTTATCCCATACTCCGTTTTCTTTTTCGTTCTTAGGCCGAGGTATGGAAGGGAGCGGGCGATAGCCAGGTAAAAGTACAGGTGATTTGTTGTGTTGTGTTGTGTGTTTTTCCTCTCTATTTTGTCTTTATTTCTCTCCATTTCTTTTATCTCTATCTCTCCTCACCTACTCTTATGTGTAAGTCTCTCTTCTCCTCTCATTTTGTCTTTATTTTCCATTTTTCTTTTATCTCTATTCTCTCTAACTATTTATCTACTCTCTGTGTATAAGTCTCTCTATTTTGTCTCTATTTCTCTCCATTTTCTCTCTCTCTAACGTGTCTCCATTTCCGGTTTAATATTCTCTTTTTTTCGGCTGAACTTTTTCCAATTCTGGTTAATATTTCTTGCTTCCGGCTTAACTTTCTTCTTATCCGACTTAACTCTTCATTACCTATTTAACTATCTCTGTTTCCGGCTGTATGTTATAATTTTCCGGTTAATCTTTGACTTCCGGTTAAATTATCTCTGTATCCAGTTTCTACTTCCTGCATATCCGGTTTATTTCTGCATTTCCGGTTTAAATGTGTTTGTTTGTTTGTTTGTTTGTTTGTTTGTCTTTTAATATCCGGTTGAAATTCTTGTATTTCCGGCTAAACATTCCTTTTATCTAGTTTATTTCCTTCTGAACCTTTCTTATATACGGTTTATTTCAAGCTAAACCTTCCTTATATCCAGTCATACTTCCGGCTAAAATCTCCATGTATCCGGCCAAAACCTTTCTCATATCCGGCTAAACCTTCCTTATATCCGGTCTACTTCCTGCTAAACCTTCCTTATATCCGGCTAAACCAGTCTTATGACCGGTCTAATTCCTGCTAAACCGTCCTTATATCCGGTCTACTTCTGGCTAAAACTTTTCCTTTATTTCCGGTTTAAATCTGTATGTGTATGTATAAATGTATATACATATAAACTGTTTGTATTGCTGATGTATGTATTATATGTATATGCCGGCTACATACAGTATACATGTCGGTGTATTAATCACTCATGGTTGTATTTTCTGATGTATTATGTATTTGTGGTTATTTTGTATATTCATGATTTATTGAATTGTATGGGTGTGTGTATGTCCAGGGTTGTTAGTGTAAGTATATAATGGTCTTTAGTACACACACACACACACACACACACAAACACACACACACACACACACACATTACTATAGATGGTGGTGACGTTAAATTTTATGAGCCTGAGAGAATCCCGGTTCAGACAGACAGACAGACAGACATACAGACAGAATCTACCTAGATACGTTCCTTAACCTAACCTAACCTTATATTTTGCTGGGAGAAGATTTTTTGGCGGGAGAAGATGGATATTTTTTGGTAGGAGAAGAAGGCTATTTTTGGCGGGAGATGGCGGAGAAGACGGCGGGAGGAGATGTAGACAATTTACCCACAACTGGCCGACCTACCTGTCCTGTGACCGGCCATAATTCACCAGACACGCCCAAGGATCTCTATCCACTTGGCAGGATGCTCCTTTATTCATGATATAACCCGGCAGGATCCCCGACAGGAGAGGTGGACGCCGGAGATCAGCTCACACTCTCGCTCTAGTAAAATTCCCGCCAAAAAATATCAGCTGATACTTTTGGCGGGAAATGGACCACACAGGCAGTCGTGGATGTAAACAAAGTCTGTTTTTATACCAGGATGACCGTGGACATGTAGATAGGTGTGTGTTTTTATTCCAGGATGCTTGTGGGTCATGTAAGTATATACGTGTGTGTGTGTGTGTGTGTGTGTGTGTGTGTGTGTGTGTGTGTGTGTGTGTTATAAGTGTATGTAAACAAACCACTTTAAACTATAACTTTAAGAGCTTTTAAACCTTCACCTCACACCCATTATATCTTTTGTATGTATCCACCACACGTGTCATGGGTCAAGTGTTTTGTTAGAGCCGCCCGCACCCTTTTAGCCGCATGTATCTCACGGGTGATGGGCCGCAGCCGCAGTCTAGCGCCTCTCACTGGTGACGTCATCGCCCATTTACTTTAATGCCTTTACCCGTCTTGATAAAATGGTCCGTCACACTTAATGTCTTTGTCTGTGTTTGTTTTAAATTGTGATATCTCTCTCTCTCTCTCTCTCTCTCTCTCTCTCTCTCTCTCTCTCTCTCTCTCTCTTTCTCCATCTATGGAAAATGAAAGTGGAAGAGATACAAAGAAAGAAATAAGACATAAACACATACATACAAACATACATACATACATACATACATACATACATACATACATACATACATACATACATCCAGTACATGTGTAGATAATAATAATAATGGTTGCCCCTCGTGCAACGAGGATGGCCGGCCCAAGGGCCACCTATAGGTTTGAATTTGTTTAAGGTGTAGAAGGTGTCGCCAACACAACAACCACACCCTGAGTTAACGAGCTGCATGACCCAGTGTCAAGGAATAGTCCGAGAAAACCGGACAACTGCACTAGCTAACCATTAACCCGGAATACGATCCGTAATTACTGCTGGGTAGACAGAGGCAAATCGCGTAAAGAAACTTGCTCATAATTTCGCCCTGCCCGGGGATCGAACCCGGGTCCTCTTGCTTGCGAGGCGAGCATGCTGACCATAACACCCCACACACACACACACACACACACCCCTCTCTCTATCTCTGTACTTTCACCAAATAAAAAAAAAACGACGAACAATAAACGAACAAAATTAGAACAACATTTCTTTATAAATCCTTTCAAAAATTGTGGCTAAAAATATAAACATCTCTCGACGCCATTTTGTGTGAGAGGAGCTTACGGCCTACCGTCACAGTTGGAGGTGTTCGGATGCGTCAACTGGATGTTTCATCCTTCACTATGGCTTTGGCTTCGTTTACGAGTTCTGATTTTAGTCGCCACAAGACCACATTATACTCCCCAAGACCACATTATACTCCCCAAGACCACATTATACTCCCCAAGACCACATTATACTCCCCAAGACCACATTATACTCCCCAAGACCACATTATACGCCTCAAAACCACACTATACTCCCCAAGACCACATTGTAGAGGAGACCGGGGCATGTTGACACACTTTTTACATTTTCGTTGATGGATCAAAAACAAAAGATTTTGAAATATTTATTGTCTCTGTGATAAATTTAAACAATTTTCTACATTTCGATGGAAAAAAAGGTAAGGTTTTCTTTCTAAACTTAAGAACAGTGTCCTTTAGAAGAAATTATAAAACATGAGTCCCCCTAAGATGTCCCCACACACAACGCTTCCGTGACGCCTGCTGGACCACCACTCCACGACCCCCTGACGGAGACACGATGATCCTCCCAATACTGGCCAGATATTTTGTAAATAATATTGATTATGTGTTAAAGGAATATCCTTCCTTCCTTAGGCTTTAGTAAGCCCCTTTATAATATTTATACTGTATATACTTTTCACACTTGCCAGATGCTTCTGGTGTTATTGTACAGGGGTACCTAGTGACAGCACTAGGATCCCGCTTCCTCTATCAAGGAATAAACAATTGAAATTGAAATTGAAATAACATGAGTCAACTTGTTTGCACACAGTCATGGGGCAACTTGGCTCATACAGATGCTTAATAAAATATCAGTACTTCATTGTGGATTTTGATATAGAGGTTCCAAATAACTTATTCTTAAATAATAGAACTTCATGGCCATTATTTATTTACATAGAGATTACAAAATCAAAACTTTAATAACACAGAATATAGTAAACTGATAGCCATAAATTCAAACAAAATCGCTCAAGAACTTAATCCTTATCGGTACACTCTTCATCTGGCAAACCCTGCACTGTACCCACATTTCTCGTGGAATAGCACAGTGCCAACTTGCCCCAACCATACCAATGAAAATAAAATGGCGTAATGCGCATTAACAAAATTTCGTATAATATTTTCTTTAAGGGCAAACAATACCATAAATCCCATGATATATTTTGGCTCAAATTGATATGTAATCCCTAACGATCTAATATATTTTACGGCACAGAAAAGTAGCAAACGAAAACTGACTCACCAGCAGCAAAATTAAACTTTCCTTTATACTTTGGCCTTCCAGCAACCTCTCCCAACGCTGGTTTGTTGGGAACTGAGGACGCCATCTACCATCAAGTAGTGGAAATAGTTCATCTGTGCCAACTTACCCCTGTCGCCCACTAGCCCCGGTCTTCCCCTCCCCAAGACCACATTATACTACCCAAGACCACATTATACCCCCAAGACCACATTATACTCCCAGGACCACATTATAGTCCCAAGACCACGTTGTACTCCCAACACCACATTATGGGTTGAAGGGTCGTGAGTAGAAGGGGTCGTGGTGTGAAGGGGTCGTGGTGTGAAGGGGTCGTGGTGTGAAGGGGTCGTGGGGTGAAGGGTCGTGGGGTGAAGGGTCGTGGGATGAAGGGTCGCGGGTGAAGGGGTCGTGGGATGAATGAAGGGTCGTGGGGTGAGGTCATTGGGGTGAAGGGGTCGTGGGGTGAAGAATGGGGTGAAGGGTCGTGGGGTGATGGGTCAGGGGTCATGGGGTGAAGTCGTGGGGTGAAGGTCATGGGGTGGTCGTGGTGATGGGTCATTGGGGTGGGGGTCGTTGGGTGAAGGTCGTTGGGTGAGGGGTCATTGGGGTGAAGGGTCGTGGGTTGAAGTCGTGGTGAAGGGTCGTGGTGAAGGGTCGTGGGGTGAGGGTCATTGGGGTGAAGGGTCGTGGGGTAAAGGGGTCATGGGGTGAAGGGTAGTTGGGTGAAGGGGTCGTGGAGGGTCGTGGGGTGAAGGGTCTTGGGGTGAAGGATCGTGAAGGGGTCGGGGTGAAGGGTCGTGGGGTGAAGGATCGTGGGGTGAAGGGGTCGTGGGGTGAAGGTCGTGGGGTGAAGGGTCGTGGGGTGAAGGTCGTGGGGTGAAGGTCGTGGGGTGAAGGTCGTGGGGTGAAGGTCGTGAAGGTCGTGGGGTGAAGGTCGTGGGGTGAAGGGTCGTGGCGAACATCTGCAGTGAAATATATGTAAAAGTCAACGCGTCCTGACCTGCTCCCTTTAACTCAATCTCTGTTGGTGATTGTGGTGGTGGTGGTAGTGGTAGTGGTGGGTCCGTGGGGGTGGTGGCGTGGTGGTGGTGGTGGACGGGGTGCTGGTGGGGGTAGGTGATGGTGGTAGTTTAGATTGTACTGGTAGGTAGTGGGGTTAGTAGAGTTGGGTGGTAGTAGTAGTGGTAGTGCCGAAGGTCAGGTTAGTTGGATGGGTGGAGTAGTGGTAGGTGGTAGGGAATTAGATGGTAGTGGTAATGGTGGATAGTGGTAAGTGTTGGTGGTGTTGGGAGGCAAAGTTGTCGTGTAAGCCTCGTGTCAGTACTTGTTTCGCCCCAGAGCTGGTTATAGTAAGTAAGTAAGCGGCTCTCAACAAGCGTTTAATAATGGTGATTTAAGTATATACATCTCGTGTTTTGGGAGTTGTTCACTTTAATTATGCAGATGAGATTATGCAAATGAGTTAGTATCGTTAATGTTGCTGGCAGAACCAACTCTCTCTCTCTCTAAGGTTCCTACGTTAAAATTTTCCTCCTAACTGGTGATGTGAGGACGTATCTAACTGACCCACTTAAGCTACGACACAAAGATGGATTCTAAAAGGTTTCTACATTTTATTCCTTTCTAAGCTAACCTAATCACGTGTACCACCACTGACCTCTCCCTCTCTCTCCCTCCAGAGCAACCACGTACACCGCACCTCGTACAGGATCAAGGCCTTTAGCCACGTGTTCACAGTGGACCTTCAACTGAACACGTGAGTATTGTTATAAGTGTGTACTGTAGTAATGTACGTATATTTTAAGTATGTGATGGTATAAGTGGTGCGTGAGAGAGTATAAGTGGTGTTATAAGTAGTGAATAGTCTTACTCACTTAACACACGATATTATATTTACAACTCAGATGTTCATTTAACACTTAATAAAGACACTCTCTTAATTACAAGTGTTCTGTTGTATTATTCATTAAGTGTACTTATTATCACGTAATGAATTTTTGAGGATACTTATTGAAATATTCTAATCACACACACACACACACACACACACACACACACACACAATACATATCCCTACCCTGGTCTTCAGACAGCTAGCGCTCAAGTGAGTGATGTTATTTTGGTGGGTCTTTACTGGCACTTGAGGTCCTGATTCCCAGCGCCCGCTTGAGTGTCGGCACCCCACATTGGCACTGTTATTTTAGGGCCACGAGAAGCCCTCCCTTGAGCGCTGGTGTGTGTGTGTTTCAGAGTGAATAGTTTGTGACATTGGTACCGTAACAATATTGGTACCATAACATTGGTACCATAATAACATTAGTACCATAATAACATTGATACCATAATAACATTGGTACTATATTACAATTAGTAACATAATAACATTGGTATCATAATATCATTGGTACCATAACATTGGTACCATAATAACATTGGTATCTTAATAACATTGATACCATAATAACATTGATACCATAATAACATTGGTACCAGGATAACATTGGTACCAGAGTAACATTGGTACCATAGTAACATTGATACCATAATAATATTGGTACCATAATAAGATCCGTGCTCTGATAAAATTGGTACTATAATACCATTAGTAACATAATAACATTGGTGTCATAATACCATTGGTTCCATAATAACTTTGGTACCATAAGATCGGTATCATGATATTGGAACCATAAAAACTTTGGTACCATAATAATACCGGCACCATAATAACATTGGTACCATAACATTGTTATCAATAACATTAGTACTCCAATGGCATTGGTACTATAATAACATTGGTACCATAATAACATTGGTGTCATAATAGTGGCACCATTATGTCATTGGTACCATAACATTAGTAATCTAATGATATTGGTACCATAATAACATTGGTACTGTAATAATACTGGTACCATAATAACATTGGTACCATAATAATACCGGTACCATAATAATATTGGTACCACAACATTGATACCTTAATAACATTGGTACCACAATAGCATTGGTACCATAATAACACCGGTACCATAATAACACTGGTACCATATTAACATTGGTACCATGATAACTTTAGTACTATAATAACATTGGTACCATAATAACTTTGGTACTATAATGACAGTGCCATAATAACATTGGTACCATAATAACACTGGTACCATATTTACATTGGTACCATAATAACTTTGGTACCATAATAACACTGGTACCATATTAACATTGGTACCATAATAACACTGGTACCATAATAACTTTGGTACCATAATAACATTGGTACTATAATAACATTGGTATCATAATAACATTGGTACCATATTAAAATTGGTACTATAATAATATTGGTACCATAATAACATAAGTGCCATAATAACATTCGTGCCATAATAACATTGGTACCATATTAAAATTGGTACTATAATAACATTGGTACCATAATAACATTGGTACCATATTAAAATTGGTACCATAATAACATTGGTGTCATTGGTTCATTACAGACCACTACTGTCCCCAAACTTAATGGCTCATCATCGAACGAGAGAGAGGTCCAGCCAAGTCGATCATCATGTGAGTACTCTTATGAGTTTATGAGTAAATTATGGGTTTATGTGAGTTTTGTGAGTAAGTTATGAGTTTATGTGAGTTTTGTGAGTAAGTTGTGGGTTTTATGAGTAAGTTATGAGTTTTAGGAGTAAATTATGAGCTTATGTGAGCTTTATGAGTTAATGAGTAACTTCAAAATTGTAAGAGTATTTAGGAAGTAAATTATGAGTAATGTGAATACGAGGGACATTAACTTATAAGGTCTATGAGTACGTAGGGGGTAAATTATGATTTTTGGGGAGAACTGGAAACATTTATGGGTAAATTATGAGTTTTGTGAGTATTACCATCGCATAGTATAAGTTTAATAAGTGTTGTTGTCTTATATTATGAGTTTTATGAGTATTGTGGATGTGAATTTTGAGTTTTTAATATTAAAGGAGTAAATTGTGAGCCGTAGATTGTGAGGTCGTGAGAAAATTATGATTTTTTTCTTATTGGTGGTGTAATTATGAGCATTAGAGAGAGAGTATCTCTACGGATACCCAAAGTTCACTAACACCTTTTGGCACCATTAATTGATCCATAATAAAGATAGTTTGGCCTCTCTCTCTCTCTCTCTCTCTCTCTCTCTCTCTCTCTCTCTCTCTCTCTCTCTCTCTTCACCTCATTCATCTGTTTCCTCTCCACTTTTTCCCTCTCCTTCTCTTCCGTCTTCCCCCTTTCCTCCCTCCTTCTCCTCCTCTCCCATCTACCCCTCTCTCCCTCTCCCCTCTCCCTCTCCCCGTCAATCTCCCCCTCCTTCTCCCCTCACCCCTCCCTCTCCCCTCCTCCAGGGAATTATTCCCCCAGGTTCACCTTCTCGTCGCCTGCCGAATTCCAATGCTCTTAGCTCCTCCTCCTCCTCTTCCTCATCCTTCTTCGCCTTCTTCCTTCACTTCTCTCTTTCTTCTCCTCCTCCTCCTCCTCTTCCTCCTCCTCTCCCCTATCCTTCTTCGCCTTCTTCCTTCACTCTCTCTCCTCCTCCTCCTCCTCCTCCTCCTCCTTCCTTCCCTTCTCTTCTTCCTTCCTACTTCTATCCCCCCTCCTCCTTCCTTTACCTCCCCTCCATTCATCTTTCTTTCCCTCCTCCCCCTCCTCCATCTTCTCCCATCTTTCTTCTCTACCCTGTCCTCCTCCTCCTACCTCCTTTCGCCTTTCCACGTTGACTTTGCGTTTTCTAATTGTCAGCTGACCCCATTTCCTCTCTCCCTCCCTCCCCCCTTCCCTCACCAACCATGAAATATATCTTGTTGAAAAAATACCACCGAAAAGTATTTTTCTTTGGCCATCTTGAAATATATCATCTCTCGCTGGTGAAAAATACTTGTATATGTGTGAAAAATATCTTCTCTTAGTGGGGGATATTTTCATCAGTATAGAAAATATATTACCACAGCGAAATAGAAAAAAAAAGATGGAAAATATCCTATCTCTTCGTGAAATATATTATATCAGCCACTCTCCAACAGGCAGTAATACTTATATAAATGTGGGTTAGATACATTAGGTTTATATAATTACATCACCCAAGGTAACTTTCCTATGAGACGTGAGTCGTCATCAACTGGACATGTGGCAGTGTACTGTATTGTATTCCCACTGTGTCCTCACACCTTGATCACATTTCTACTCCCGTCTCTGAGCCGCTGAGACGTGTGGTCTAAAAAGCTAATTATACCTGAGCTTTGTCCCTTATTAACGCTCGCAGCTCAGAGCGTTAATTACGGTGATATTCCAGGTATTATGCAGTAGTTTATTTTCTTAATAAATGGAGAAAAGACCATTTGGGTTTGATAACTTAACCTATAAACATTTATGAATGATGCTTCCAGTTCACCTCTAATTAGTGGTTTCACAGGTAACCGGAAGCTAATACAATACATTACAATATATATCTCCCTGCCGACCGTGAAATATAGCCACACCACCGTGAAATATAGCCACACTACCGTGAAATATAGCCACACCACCGTGAAATATAGCCACACTACCGTGAAATATAGCCACACCACCGTGAAATATAGCCACACCATCGTGAAATATAGCCACACCACCGTGAAATATAGCCACACCACCGTGAAATATAGCCACACCATCGTGAAATATAGCCACACCACCGTGAAATATAGCCACACTACCGTGAAATATAGCCACACCACCGTGAAATATAATCAAATACTTTAAAATGAATTTGTACACATCTCATGGTATCCAGAGAGTTTCATGAAATATCCACTCCTTCCTCCCTCCCTCCCTCTCACTGCTACTCTCCCCTCTCACTTTCACACCCCCTCTCCCTCTCTCACTCCCACTCCCCCCTTCTAATTTCCAGTTTCTCTCACTTCACCTCTCATTAATTCCTTCCCTCCCTCTCCCTTTCCCTCCCCTCTCTCTCCCACTCTCCCCACTCACTCCCCACCACTCTCTCCCTCTCACTCCCACTCTTCCCTCTCACTTGGTGTTTTGGTTATTTCTGGCTCACGTCCTGGAATGCGTCCAGGCACCCACTGTGAGGAGAAAGTTTTCTTGTTTTACTTTCTCATTTACTTTCTTCTACTTTCTATTTATTTTCTCCGATATTTACTTTCTTTTTTACAATACTTTCTTTTGTGTTTTTTTCTCAATTTACTTTCTTATTTATTTTCTTTGTGTGATTTTCTGTACTACTTTTTTTTGTTGGCTTTCTCTTCTGTGGATTTTCTTTTCTCTTACATTCTCCTTTTGATAATATAGGTTAAGTTAGGTTAGGTTAAGTTAGGTTAGGTTAGGTTAGGTTAGGGGGTACTACTGTTTTTCCTGTTCTTGAATCTAATGTATCGTGGTGGTGTGTATGTGGGGGAGGGGAGAAGAAGGTCTCAATACTGCCAGAAAAATATTCCTTCCTTCTGCCTGGGAACCTCAACCACTGCTATATTTACGAGGTAGTGCCAGGCAGGTAGTGCCAGGCGAGTAGTGTCAGGTGAGGTAGTGTCAGGTGAGGTAGTGTCAGGTAGTGTAGTGAGGTAGTGTCAAGGGTGAGTAGTGCCAGGCAGGGTGTCAGGCAGTAGTGTCAGGTGAGGTGGTGTAGTGTCAGGTGAGGTAGTGTCAGGTGAGGTAGTGCCAGGTGAGTTAGTGTCAGGTGGTAGTGTCAGGTGAGGTGAGTGTCAGGTGAGGTGGTGTCAGGTGAGGTGGGTGTGAGGTGGTGTCAGGTGAGGTGAGTGTCAGGTGAGGAGTAGTGTCAGGTGAGGTAGTGCCAGGTGAGGTAGTGTGTCAGGTGTGAGGTGAGGTGCCAGGTGAGGTGAGTGCCAGGGGGGTAGTGCCAGTGCAGGCAGTAGTGCCAGGCGAGGTAGTGTCAGGTGAGGTCGTGCCAGGTGAGGTAGTGCCAGGTGAGGTAGTGTCAGATGAGGTAGTGTAGGCAATAAAGTTGGCTGGTACCTGGTTTACGGAGTGTCAGTACTTGTGTGAACCTGTCCAATACCTGTGTGAAACTGTCCTGGGGCAGGAAAGGTGAGGAGGGGATAGAGAGGGTGAGGGGTGAGAGGTGAGGGAAGGGGGAGTGCAAAAAAAACCGAAAGAAGAGGTAACAAACACAAACAAACCCACAAACAAACAAAGAGACACACACAAACAAAACAATCAAACAAACAAACACTCACAAACAAAAAGACCCACAAACAAAACAAACAAACACAAAATAACACAGAGACCCACAATCAAGGCAAACAAACGTAGACAATAGAAAACACAGAACGGGTTAAAAGTCACAAACCGAACAAAAATTAGGCGACCTGGCACCTGCAGCCTCTGTAATGAACGAGTTGCCAAGACGTAAATATATGGAGGCCGTTGGTGGCGTGTGTGTGTGGGTGTGTGGCGGGAAGTTTTGTAATCAACTGAGAGAGAGAGAGAGAGAGAGAGAGAGAGAGAGAGAGAGAGAGAGAGAGAGCTGTGAGTGTGTCAGCTAAGAGAGAAAGAAATTAGCAGTCCTCTCATTCCTTTTCCCTCTCTCTCCTCTCTCCCCTCTCCCCCTTTCCCCTCTCCCATAGGTGAGGTGAGAGTAAGCTTAGCAGGTAGCTGGACAGGTGAGCCTCTCTCTCTCTCTCTCTCTCTCTCTCTCTCTCTCTCTCAGGTACCCTTCCTGGGAGACTACAACTAAAACTTAAGGTTACAGATTTCGCGAGAGGAGACGACCTCAGATTTTGGAAAATTTGTTCAGATTTTCGGTAGTAATGGTTTAACAGATTTTTCCGGGAGGGTGATAGATAACAGATTTTTGGGGGTAGATAAATGTAGATTTTATGAAAGAAGGAGAATTTTAAGCAGATATGTTCCGATTTTTGAAGAAGCAGATTTTTTAAAGGAGTGGTGAGGATAGGCCGATTTTTACATTAAGGTTGGGGGCTCTGTCACCTATTTACGGAATAGAGATCCAGATTTAGAGAAGATTTCTCCACAGATTTTCCTATTTTTAGGGACATTAAAGATTTTCCGGAGCAAACTTCTCGGGTTATTCTGGGAGAAAAACGCTTCTGATTTTCTAAAGGCTGTTACAGATTTGGATTTGACAGAAACGACAGATTTTACGTAAAAATGAGGTTAAAAGAAACAGATTTTTTCGATAGCTGCTGGCAGATTTTGCTAAAGGGATTTCTACATATTTTTATTTTTGAAGGATTTTGTTACATGCACCACTACTACAACTCTTACTACCATCACTACCGCCACTACAACCATCACTACCACCACTACAACCATCACTACCACCACTACAACCATCATCACTACCACCACCACCACCACCACCATCACTGCCACCACTACAACCATCACTACCACCACTACAACCACTACCACCACCACCACCACCACAGTATCCTGGAGGTGGGCCAATCTCCTGACAGGGATGTGGATGGCCGCCCAATCCTCACTGTGTCTCATTGACTGGCTACTTACTCCCTGTGGCCTCTAGCAAAGGGATTACAGATTAGGGATTGGAGTTAAGG